TTTCTTGTTTTATTTTTGGTCTCAAATTCGGGATAGGTTTCAGCAATCTGGAGGAAGTAGTTTTCTCTGAGATCTTTGTATTTTTCACATGTTGTGAGTAAGTGTTGTTTATTTTGTATTTCGTGTGAAGTACAAGGTGAGCATATCCTTTCCTTTCCAGGAAGCCATGTTTGTCTACGGCGGCCTGTCTCGATGGTCAGGTTATGTTCACTGAGTCTGTACACCTGACTCCAGGTTTGGGCCTTCTCTTGTTCTTTGTATCTTGCTGTGTTCTGTCTCTTTAATCCAGGTAGTTGGTGGGTGGAGCTGATACCTGGGGCGAGTTCAGTGCAGACAAAACGTAGAAAAACGGGAAGGTGGTGCCTTGAACACCCTGCTGTGTACACAAGCGCACTGCATTTTCCTGCCTTTTTTCACAGTTGTGTTTACAAACTTATCGCAACTGATTGGGTACACCTATGACACGCCCACCAAAGAGAATAAAACATACCTCGAAGCCCGCTGCGTAATGTTGCACAACATTGCACGGAAACATGCCGTTCAATCCGAAAATGTTGCATACGCAAAACGTTTTGAGATTGAACTCGCCCCTGAGCAGGCGGGGCTCGAGTGGCTATAAAGGATCCTGTTTGATAATTTGTCCTGAGGGCTGTTTCACAAAAGCAGAGTTTAGAAATCCAGGATAACAGATAAAGCTAGGCTTGACCTAGTGTGATCAATGCATCCTGGCTTTATCAGTTTCACAAAGGCCAAACCAGGCTCAGAAGGTGCGACTATGTCAAGCCAGAGGCCCCTACCACGAAGCAGTTTATCCAGGTTCGGGGTTAATCCTGGGTTTTCAATACCACATAGGTGGTTCACTTCTTACCGGGGTAGATCTCTATGGTAACTTATGCTGAACGGAGCAGGTTATGTTCCAGATTAGAGCTCAACTCTGTGAAAATGCTGCCTACTGACCAATCAGCTCTCTTGGAAAATTACATCACCATCTGTAGGAAATCCCACAGACTTCTTTAGCCCAAGGGGGTAAGCCAGAGATCGGACAGTGAAGCCGACCAAAGCCTGCATGGAGGGATCCATGTAGGCCCAAAAATGACGCCAAACCCTGTGACACCCCGTCGCACATGAGAGATGTAACCGTATTGCTTAGATTATAAACTCTCAACAATCTAAAAAAACTATTTACTATCACTATGTCACTATCAGTGACGCTGCGTTGGTGTTTGGCAGGTGAGCCTCGTAGGTGGGCTGATTAATCAGTGACGATCCGAGTCAGTCAAACACACTGAGTCATGAAACTTTTTGTTGGTGCAGCTACGCAGCTACCAGAATTACAGTGTTTCTGCCGTTGTTCTGCGTCATTAAACCACGGTTATGCTGCGCAATCACGCGCAGTACACGCTGGTGCCAACAGGAAGTGGCCCTGTAGTAGTATTTTATTGGTCCAAAACTGGCTTCACTGCTCTCCATTCACATCAGAGTGGCTTCATCCAGTAATATACTGTCTATGTTACTACTACTACTTTCTGTAGTCATGTTCCTCCCCACCTTTTGTGATGTGGGCGCAAAAGGTGGGACGGTGAGTTTTCAGTAGCCTAAATGTTGAGATTCAGTCTTTCAACCACTATTTGAGAACATTTTATGGTATGAATGGAGTTTTCGTTTCAGTGCTTCATGAAGTTAATTTAGATCAATGTTTGGAACACTTTTGAGTGTGTTAAATAAATTAATCTTATTTTTTAAGTGACGACAAGTGTTTTAAAGTGAGGGGGAACGGCCCGTGTCTTTTAATGTGGAAACGCTGACACAGCCGAGCTGAAACAATAAGGTTGATATTTTCATACAGCTCATAAGAACACTTTAAATCAATACATTGTTATAGACTACGCCTGTTTATTTAGGCATTTACACTGTCTGTGATTTTCTGCATGTGTCAGCTGCAGCCGTGCTACTGTCGTATTTCTGTAGGCCTAGTGTTACAGTTTAATTGTCCTTCATTAAATATGACGCTCTGCTGACAGTGGACTTGTTCATGTCTGCGATTGGTCATCTGCTGCTAACACCGCCTCTTTTATCTGAACGCGCTCACGGCTGAAGTGGGAAACCCGGGTTAACTTACCAAGTTGATAACCAGTTTCGTGGTACCGCTTATCCTGATCGCGATTGTTAGGGTTAGTTAAGCCAGATAATGAAAACATATCCTGGGTTTGTTGAACTTAGTAGTTCCTTCCGATTAACGGCCAACCCGCTCTACGTATAGGGGCGGCCAACATTGCATTGCATGTTTATTGCAAGCAACATTTTTAACAATATATACAATAAATTATATAATATATAACAATATAGTAGGTCTAGGCAGACAGGCTGGAGATCTGTCAGTTTTGTGTGAAAATGGTGTACTTGTTTAGTCAATATGGATAATAAGAAGTCAGTGATATGGTGTTGATAGAAAATTCTTTATCATATTTGTAACTTGACCCTGAGGCTGTAGTCCTACAGTCTGACAGCCAGTCTGCCAATGTAGTAAGTATTACCTGAAGGACATCCACAGGTGCACAGTTCCTGCTGTGCTAATTGATAAGTGTTTTATAACCTGCCTGATGTCTTTAACTGCACACACTTGAAAAATTTAACCAAATAAAATATGAATAAAAACCCTGGCAGGACTTGAACTTAGATCTGAAGATAAAAAGTGGTAGGCCTACTGAGGAAACTGGAAATCCAGCAACAACAAAACAAAGTGATCATTGCAAAGCACACTGTAAGCATGACTGTAACACAATGTATATGTAATGTATCATTGTTTTCTCTTCCAAGCTCGCAGCAAAGGAGTGATCCCAGGAAGAGAAAAAAAGGTAAAAAATCATTTTGGTGTCCTCTCCCTGTTGTTTCATGAATAAACAGTGCATATAACAGTGTATATATATATATATATATATATATATGTGTGTGTGTGTGTGTGTGCATATATATATACACTCACCTAAAGGATTATTAGGAACACCTGTTCAATTTCTCATTAATGCAATTATCTAATCAACCAATCACATGGCAGTTGCTTCAATGCATTTATGGTTGTTGGTGCCAGACGGGCCGGTCTGAGTATTTCACAATCTGCTCAGTTACTGAGATTTTCACACACAACCATTTCTAGGGTTTACAAAGAATGATGTGAAAAGGGAAAAACATCCAGTATGCGGCAGTCCTGAGGGCGAAAATGCCTTGTTGATGCTAGAGGTCAGAGGAGAATGGGCCGACTGATTCAAGCTGATAGAAGCAACTTTGACTGAAATAACCACTCGTTACAACCGAGGTATGCAGCAAAGCATTTGTGAAGCCACAACACGCACAACCTGAGGCGGATGGGCTACAACAGCAGAAGACCCCACCGGGTACCACTCATCTCCATTACAAATAGGAAAAAGAGGCTACAATTTGCAAGAGCTCACCAAAAAAGACAGTTGAAGACTGGAAAAATGTTGCCTGGTCTGATGAGTCTCGATTTCTGTTGAGACATTCAGATGGTAGAGTCAGAATTTGGCGTAAACAGAATGAGAACATGGATCCATCATGCCTTGTTACCACTGTGCAGGCTGGTGGTGGTGGTGTAATGGTGTGGGGGATGTTTTCTTGGCACACTTTAGGCCCCTTAGTGCCAATTGGGCATTGTTTAAATGCCACGGCCTACCTGAGCATTGTTTCTGACCATGTCCATCCCTTTATGGCCACCATGTACCCATCCTCTGATGGCTACTTCCAGCAGGATAATGCACCATGTCACAAAGCTCCAATCATTTCAAATTGGTTTCTTGAACATGACAATGAGTTCACTGTACTAAAATGGCCCCCACAGTCACCAGATCTCAACCCAATAGAGCATCTTTGGGATGTGGTGGAACGGGAGCTTCGTGCCCTGGATGTGCATCCCACAAATCTCCATCAACTGCAAGATGCTATCCATCAATATGGGCCAACATTTCTAAAGAATGCTTTCAGCACCTTGTTGAATCAATGCCACGTAGAATCAAGGCATTTCTGAAGGCGAAAGGGGGTCAAACACAGTATTAGTATGGTGTTCCTAATAATCCTTTAGGTGAGTATATATATATGTATATGGGCAGACCTATAGGATTTTCTTTTATAAGAATATAATGTCCCATGTAAATAGTAATGAGCCAAGGTGCAACACGTAGGCCTACACCTGGCTTTTAAAGGGAATGGGAGATGCACTTTGTTTATTACTTGTTACTCCAAAATGAGTATAGAAAGAGGGCCACTGCTGTTACTCTGCCAGAAATCTTCGATAAAATAGGCTGTCTTACAAGGAATTGGTGCAAAAACCAATGCTTGCTATTCACTGCTGGATGTTGGATCTCAGCACCGGGGAACTGAGCAAAATGCACAGTGACATCAAGCCGAGGGCAACAAAGTGGGATGTTAAACTTTACAGGAAGAAGATGCAGAAGGGGCTCAGCACCTGACAAAATCCATCAGGAAACATAATGAGGAAAAGCTTCTGTACTGTCTCTGATTTATTGGTGTCTCACTTTACAGCTCAGACCAATTTTGCAAGAAGGTCAATTGGACCTAATTTTCCGGAATTTTTGTAATGGATTTTTAGGGGGTGTCATTTACAAATAACTTGTGTAAAGAGGGGTTTTATCATTATGGCTACTCTTTGTATTAACAAGTTAGTAAAACACTATCGCTGCTTGTGTTTAAGTAATTTCTTAGTGATAAAAGCTAAATATTAAAGATTTCAAATGTTTATTCTGCAGTGGTGGAATATAACTATTTAGGTACTCAGACCCTCGTAAAACATTATTCTCCTAATCATACGACGTTAAGACCCCCTGTGGCCCTAATAGTCTACTCAGTCGTAGTTAAATAAGATGATTGCCGTGATTTCTTCCAAGCAGGTAAACTACTTCCCCCGTGTGGATTGCGTTCGGGCCGTTTTTCTTAATTGGCCATTGAACGCAGCAGCACTGATCCACAGGAGATCCAGCCACCACCTGCTGGACGCTCAGAGCTGCGGTGCGGCTGAAGAGACATTGATATTTCGTCAAACAGATGGGTTAAGGTCAGTCGGCAGGAAAACGTCCACGTGTCGGTCAGATTAGAATCGGGCCGACAGAGCGTCCCGTTCCCGGCGAGCAGCGTCCGTCTCAGTGATTTGAAGGGGGATGAGTGCTGACACATCCACGCAGTCAGCGAAGGAGGCCAGCTGAGGAGCGGCAGGGTGATGCGGCTCTGGGACGGGGGCACTTGGTTTCTGCTCTGAAAGTTCACGGCTGGACACCGGGACCACATTGGTGGATAATATGTCTCTGCTGAAACAGCGTGGGAGAGAGCTTGAGCGCTTCGACGGACTGTCGCTCATTTACTGGTACGTGAAGTGAAGTTTGGGTTGAACCCCTGCGCGTGGCGTTCGCTCCGAGAGAGAGAGCATGCATTCCAAAACGTTAGGAATCTGGAAACTTCTGTTTCCCTAACCGTGACTGAAGGAAGACCTGCCACATCTGACAGAGTCGCCACACTTAACAAAGGCTACTGCTCTTTTAATCAGATTCTTTACACTCGCGCTCCTCACAGCCAGTGTGCGCGCAGGCACAAAGCTGGTTGTATTATATAGAATTAAAGTGTCGTTGCAGTTAGCCTATCTGTCGAATTGGCCAGATGACATTTATGATTCATCACCTGCAGTATCCTTCATTGGTGACATACTGTTGAGCTGAGGTGATGTTCACTGGCTTTTTGACACGTTGCACACATCTCATTAGTGAACTGGTTTTGTGTCTTTGCCTAATTCTTTTAAATTGTCACTACAAAATGACACAAGATGAACAGCTTCATCTATTTCAAAATGAAAGGAGGTCCTTCCTTTTGACCCGTTTCAACGACTCAATGCAAAAACATGCAGCTTAAGAAAACTCATAATTAACACTACCTCAAATGTGCAGTTAGATTTAAGTATTTACATAGTAAGATGGAACTGTTTTAACTTGGATTTTTTAAAGCACAAATCGACAAAGTTAAGCAACATAATGTCAAACCACTGAAATGTCATATGGGACCACATGACACATTGGTCAGGGTAAATAGAAAATACATTTAGCATCCATAAAGCAACAGCTAGAACAATAACTTAGGAAAACAAGAGTTTTCAAAATAAAAATAAAGATGTAACATGAATGATCCCATGGGAAAGTAGGGCAGTTTGGAGCAGGCCAGTTCATTTTGTTCTTGTATATTGTCCCGAGGGGAGGAGTCAGTCAGCTAAATGTAGGTGCTGAGTGGACTGTTGGGGCTGGTTCAGCCAGGAGCGCTTTAGAAAAAGGCAAGCTGAAGGGAGGTGATATAACACTGCTGGGTGCCCCGTTCTCTGGATGCCACCTGACGTTTGCCAGCCCTCTCTCCCACAAACAGAACCACTCCTAAAGTTTCCTCATGATTCTGTCCTCCCAGAAATTACCCGAGCTCTGGGACTACTTTCTGATTTACGTCTCAGGAGCCTTAGAGTTTAATCCTGACAGCGAAGACGTAGACCTGGGACTATTTCCTCTCAGGATGAACCCCACCATTAAGACCAGGTACGTGTGACACAGGGAGAGTCAGGAGCAGCGGTGTACAGGGATGCTTACCTACCTCCTGAGAAACTGCTGCTTTATATCGCTGCCAGAGAGAGGTCAGTTTAGCTGGGATGCTGTGAGGAGTCTAGAAATATAGTCAAACCTGCTATTTTACATGAAGTTGATGTATCTCGGTGGAAAACCTCAGCGACATCGAGAGAACAGGATAAGTGTGTGCCGTAGATAGAAAAGTACTTTCTGAAATGGCTTGATTTACAATTAACCTTGAACACAGTCCTTCACCTCCTCACTGCACATTACTTGATAAATATTAAAACTGATGTATTCTTAGTGTTAAAGTGTGGTAAACTCAAAATGAAAAAGGTAACTCAGAGGTTGGCAGAAGGTGGGTAAGGAATAAAGTGATGAGTGGAATGGAAATCATTCATAGTCATCTTGGCTTATTTCTGAAATTTGTATTGATGCAATGAGTTAAAATTACACAGTTTCCCTGTAGTCTCATATCTGTCAATAAAATGACAGCCATAGTTGTTAGCTGCAGTAGTGGCTATGCAGAATATGAAGCATTAATGAGTCAGAGTAAAGACTGTTTTGTTAAAAACAACAAAAAGACAAATGTAAATGAAGAGAGCACTGTGTCTGTTAAATAGACTGTTAAGTACAGAACAATGGGAGCTTTCATAAATTTTTATTACAGCAACGGTTCCATGTGGGTGATCTGTCAGGTAGTTCCCTGCAAAGAGAAGAATCATTTCTGGTACAGACGCCATACAGAATGTGTAAGAGTGACTGTTTTTGTGAGTGTGTGGTCTGGTGTTCGTGGTCTTATTGGATGGCAATAATCATGATAAAAGTAGTTTGGCCCATTCTTACCTTGTAGTTTTGCTGCGTTTCTTCTTCACACTGACTTATAACGAATGAACCAAGAGGAGTAAACAGTCATAAGCACTGACAGGTAACTCATCCGTTGGAGAGTTTTGTTGATGTCATTCTGCATCATCAGCACTACATGCATGCATGCATGCAGCAAGTTCCTGTGGCTGACAGCAGGTCACGCTGGAGACACTCAGCCTGAAGCGATCATCGTCTGTGGCGTCACAAAAAGCTCATGAAGAAGTAATAGATTACAAGCATTATTTGTTGAGGCTGGAACACATCTGCCATAATGATGAAGAGGTAGACACAGGGTGAAAAAGAGGCACAGCACTGTGGTATTACCGGGAGGATAGAGGTAACATTTGAATTGTTTTTCTCACTTTTTATTGATGAACTGTTAAAATATTGAGTAGGACACAAGCACAATACACCTTTTCCAAGGATCAGGCAAAATCTCTGATGTGCATATACTGTATGTTACAATGGTAAACAAATGATCGTGCATGATTATATAGATCATTGATTTATGATCACTTAGGAGATCACATCTGTGAAAGCTGATGATCAGCAGATGAATTAAATAGCAGTTAGGTTTTGAATTCATGCTAAATGGGTCAAACCACCAGTAACAACAGTTAAAGTGTGAACAGATGAGGCTACAGCAGCTCCTCGGGACTGTTCTGAATGCACAGACTGGCCCATGTTCAGAGAAGCCACCCCCCAGGAGAACCACATCAACCTGAGGAATATATATCAGTGACATAAATCAGCATACATGTTGATGATATGGAGTTCACAAAGACAATAAAATCATTCCCTGAAACAGAGATCCATGGAGCATGAATCACACACTGCTGCTGCCAGCACAGATCAAACAGGATGTTAAGACACTGAGACAGATGGTGCACCGCTGAGTGCAAACACTGTTCTTTTCTGTTTCTGTCTGACTCTTCCATTTCAGTTTCACATTTTGCTTTTGGCACTCGATGCTCGGGCTAGACGGCACCATCAGGCCGTTATTGGCTTTTTGTCTTCAATTTCAAAAATTGTCACTTCTGATTATAATGGAAGAGGTTCCTGCTGTGACTGTAGTGGTCTGTATTATTTTTCAGGTGACTCATTTAAAGTTAAATGTGTGTTGTGGCAGGATTTTACTCGGCAGTCTGTCAAACTTGATATTTAGCTCATAAACGGTTGTCTGGAACAGACCCAGAGGCTGGGTAAGGTTTAAGGTGATAGCTTTATTGATTATTGACAGATTGCAACACAGTTGGTTAAATTGCGCTTTTTCTTCTTTGCCGTTCTTCTCATTGATAGGTCTAATGAGTGGTGGAGTGGGTAGAAGCATAGATATGCGATCGGATGTCAAAGTGCCTTTCTTTTTAACTTGGATTGAAAAGGCTCAACTGGTTTTAAATGACTGCAGCCCTGTCACCCATTGTGACAGGGCTGAATAAATCGTAACATTATGTTATGCCATCTATTGTCTGGCAGTTATAATAGAGTTGAAGGGCATTTACTCCAAAATGAGCTTGCAAATCACCTAAAAGGTTTCCATTGGTATGCTGAGGTCAGAGAGCATTGTATCGTTAGTTAGTATCAATTGTTTTTGGTATGAAAATATTCCACCTTTTACTGTAGATCTAGAACACTGACAGCTTTTCTCTGAAACACGGGTCAAAACCTCACAGATAGCACTTTGCTTATTTGGCTTGGTGTCCTTGACTTGAATTTCATTGTGAAACTGACCGCAGGCTGTGACAGAGGTGGCAGGTGAGACTGGATGCACTTTGACAGGTTATTTACCCGACTCCTGTCCTGTGGAATTCAGGCCTCTGGTGGCAAGAAACATCACTTTAGTTCTGCTGTGACAGAGGAAAACAACATGCTCTCATTAAGTCACCTGGCCTTAGCATCTTTCACCTCCTTATCGGGAACACATTGTTATGATGTGCATTTGTCCACAGTTCCTTTCCTGTTAATTCAGGGACAATATTGCATAGATTTATGTGTAGAATACATCCTGGCAGGACAGTATACAATCTCCTATTTTATTTACTTGTATCAATATTGCTTTTAAGAGGCTGTTGAAATAAGGTGACCAGATTTCTGAAATGAAAACCGGGGACATTTTTGGTTTGGTGGTCAGTATGTCATTAAAAAATAAAATAATATATATTATTTTATATGAAATAAAAATTGGGGACAATTTCTGTTTCATAATCTGTCAAATATAACTCTTCTTAAAGTCATTTTGAGGCAGAAACTAGCTTTCAGTCAATAAGTAGAGGCTGCAGTCACTTTATCGCAAGTGGAATACTGCATTTTATGTATTTTTTTTGGCCATTTAAAGGTTTCAACAGGTAAAAAGGACTGAATTGGTTGGTACACAGCAAGTTAAATAATGTAGAGTAATAAGGATGATTGCAAAAGAGATAATGTCTTTATTTTTTATATAACTCAGCTGTAAGTCATGTTAATTATAGGCTACATTCCATTTTCTAAATAGGATATTAGACATACACCGACCAAACACATAATCCATCAGCAGCAACAGGCTTCTATTATTGCCTATAATCACGTAAAGGACAGACCTGGTTACACTTACGACATAAAGTGATGTTTATTTGCACGTTATGTCTATTTGATCCAGATAAAAGCAGCCGTAGACGTAAAGAAACTGGGTAAACCGATAATGTTACATGCTGCGTGTGCTCCCGCGGACGACAATCACTTTCTGGCCTCGTAGAATCCAATTTCGTATCTGTTAACACAGCTCCAGACGGAGACATGCCACCAAACCCTATGTCACTCTATGTTGAAAGGCATTCTAGTTTTCACGATTATGCCTCTACCAGCTGTGAACACCTGGAGACATGCAGTCCCTCCAATTCAGATCCTCTGTCAGACTAGATTAAGGTAATAGGTGAACTTCTCTTTCCAAATTCTCAACTGTTGTCCTCTGCATGTTTACACCGTTAGCACAGAAGCTTTGGACAACTGGGAGAGAGAGTAGGTTTAATTTAATAAAGTTTAATTTAAACTTTAAAGCTAATAGAACCGCTAGCTGCATGGCTAAATGAGCTAACTAGCTAACAGCAGCTATAGTTAGCAGCAGTTAGCGGTTACTTTAGCAACAAGCATAACTGTCTGTCCATCAGCATACTCATTAAATCACAGAGAGTAGAGGCAGAGCAGTCGGAGGACATTAGGAAAATATTTTCTCCATAAAATAAGATCCTTCACCAAAATCTGTAAAGAAAGTTGTGCTTTGCACAGTAGGCCCCCAGAAACACTCAGCTCTGGCGGCGTCTATCATTTTTCCAGCCTAATTCTGGTCTAATTTGTGTTCTGATAAACAATAAATTGATCACATTCAGGTTATAACAACAACGCATTTGGTCTTTGCATACGGAAATGATTTACATGTTTATTTGCATATAGAGCATATAGAGGTAAGTGAGATCCAATCAAAAGTCACCCCAGACGCATGTGTAGACACTAATGCCAGGTGTGAACGTGGAGACAGTGTAGTGTGGCTGGATAATGAGCTCCAGGAAGAGTCTTTTTGTCTACAATTCTTCTTGTCTTTCACAATGATGGAATCCAACCTTTGGAGCCTGCCAATGCTTTATCATTTTTTAAATTCTTCCCCAGATGTATACTTCAGTACAGGTGTGCCTTAGAGGGCAATAATCCCTGGGATTTAGGAGCTTGGTTTTAGCTTTCCTTTTTGTTTCACTTAATTCACTCAGCTTGACACCGCATTCATGTCATCAGATCTCTGGTTGGTGGAGAGGGTTACTCTCTAACCAATCAGTACTGAGAAATGTATGCTTCCTGCCATTGTCATTTACAGTCCACATACAAATGTGGTCAAATAAATATGCTGATCTAAGTGTTGTAAATTTAAGTTGACATAAAACAATCTGTATAGCTCAGCTCAGCTACACTTGTAGACGTGTACAATTTTAAGATAATTTTTATTAATTATTTTTATTGGATATAGCAAGGTAGCCATCTAGCTATGTGGGGAAATGATGCTCCTTAATTCTACCTACAATACTCTTGACTAGTTGATCTGGGGAAAATAGCTGTCAGTGAGCACAACACCAGACTTGTATGACATCTTAAGGGTGTCTCTGGAACTTGTTGTGTTCTCACTTACCAACACTGGTGAAATTCCCTCCACTCCAAGACAACTTAATTGAATGGAGTTAAATTTGTAAATGGTCTTTCTGGTATTCTGATCACTCAAAGCGCCTTTACATTACATCACATTCACCCATTCATACTGAAGGCAGAGGCTAACGTGCCAACTGCTCATCAGAACAAAAATGAACATTTACACACTAATGGCAGCTGGCAGCCCACTAAACCTTCTGAGCCACAGCCGGCACTTCGTGCTACTCAAAGAACTGAAAATGCCATGTTAAAAACCACAGCAGTGTGTCTTATCTCAAACGTCTTTACTGTTGCACAACATGTCTGATGGTGCTCAAAATGTTAGAGGCAATCACCTCTATCTGGATAATCCAAAGACTTTTCTGTCAACAGGTTTATTCTGTGCTCTATTCAGAATGCAGAATATAGCTCTGATTAAAAAAAACTCCCAAGAAGGTCTGCAGAGAGTCCAGGGTAACTGGGATCTTGTTTGGAAAAACATTACTCTTTAATATTTCAATTTTAAGAACCTGACCACCGTACTTACATTCTGTACACCCAGACTGCACATGAATGGACATGTGCCTCCACTGTCACCCAATGTCTACATCCAGTTCTGTTTGGAGTATATCAGGTATGTTGGTGTTTTTATCTAACAAGGGAGCTTATAGGACAAATGTTCATTTGTGGGGCCACCTTAAATACTTAGTCTCTAACATTTTACAGACTTTAACAGACCCTGTGAAACTCAACTCCATTCTTCCTTGTCAGGTAAAATCAATGCCCAGTAATGGGATTTCAATTCACACCTTATCGACCACTCCCATCCCCATTCCCTCTGGTGATGACTGATTTGCTGGGAATGACTTCTTTGGGTTTGATTTTCTCTCCAAAGAGATGTGGATCCTGAAGCAGAATGCTGACTGGATTTGCCTCCAGGGAGGTTTGCTTTTTGCTGCTGATTTTTCTCTCTCCCCTTCAACGTATTGATGTTTCCTTGCTTAGCTGAGTGGTCTGTTCTGTGTCAAAGGTATCAGACAGTTGTCCTGTTCTGTCTTCATTTCAAGTGAGAGGATGTAAGTGGGCTGCTAGTGTGTGCCTTAACAGCTGTAATTAGCTGAGACAAGCCCAGATGCCTTCCATTCAACTGAAGGCTAATTAAGTAATTAAGGAAGCACTCACTCATGCTTTTCAATGTTCATTTTGTTCCTAGGATGTTTTAGCTTAGGAGTCACTTCTTTTGTATTTACCCTTTTTTAAAAGCTTGGAAGGATTACTCAAAATAAAAGTCCTGAACAAAGACAATTTTGTAATGATACAGCGCACTCAGGGTAAAATATTGTATAAAAACCTGTGATGATTTTGACCCTTCGTAAGTATAAATCATATCCAATATAAAGCAAATGTTAAATACAGCTGTTGCTGATGTAAGTTTTATTTCATGGCCAGTTCATGTTTAGTGTTCTTTGGGAAAATAAGATGAGCTGGTGTGAGACAATGTCACTTACCTATAAAAAAAATGTTTCAGTGATTAAAACATAAATGGCAACTGGTTTGTTGTCAGACCTTCATAATCAGACCTACAGTTCTGCACCAACTGCTCACAAGCAGTGTGCAAAATACCCTTCAATCAGGGAGTACTGTATTTCCTACATTATCTGGGATTATTTCCCTATCTTTATTCAAGAGCATCATCTTTCAATTTGAGATCATGACTTACTGATTTCATGTTCGTATTTTGAAACGCTGTCCCTCTAAACCCTGCCCTCGCACTCAAACAACTCCTGCTTGCATTTGCTCTGCTTCTCCTCAGACTGTGAGCTTCTCCGGACTCGTGAAGCATCCTCTTTGCTGTTGTAAATGTTACTGTTGCTGCTTTAGAAACAACATTTAGTTATATTTAAAATATATTCTAATCCTGTTCTGACAGCCTGTCTGACATTTGAACTCTAAAACTAAGATGTACACTTAAGTATTTGTTTATCACAAGCCACATCATCATTGCAATACTGAACATGGTTATCGCACATTGTACATATTGTGCAGGCCTAATAAACATGGTGTAGCTCACAGTTTCAGTTTGACTTTATGACTTGTTGGGCTGTAATCTTGCAATAACTGTATATTTGCTACACTTGGGAGCAGCGGAAAAAAGTTGATATGGCAAACTTAATAAAGCAACTTTAGTCTCAAATGTCAGTGTTGACTCTGCTATAAGCTATTCACCATCTCCTGAGGGAAATATCTGGCTCTTTAGCTGGTAAATGCTTCACTGTGTTCACCAGCTGGCCTCTAACTGTGTCTGTCTGCTGCTGAGTAGGTACTGTACGGTGGCGTTATCAGAGCCTTTTCACTGAAAACAGCTGCTGCTGTGGCCAAATGAATGGATCATAGTAAGCAATATCTAATGATTGTGGTTGCTGTGGGGTTTGTGTCCACCTTGTGCAAACATACATGTGATGGACAGTATGTCTATCTGTATGTGTCGACCAGAAAAAATCTCAGCACAACTCTTCAGAGTGTAGTGCCCCTGTTTATCACATTTACCCTCCCTCTGATCCGCTTATGTGGCAGTTTAAAAAATGTGCAGGTGCTCACAGGAAATTAAATAGAGCAGACACAGTCTGTAATGCATGTCATCTCTTATCAACCTGTATCTGTCCAGCTTATTTTTACATTTTCATCATTAAACTCTATTCCTCTAAACATCACTTCTTTAATTCTCAATGTTTAAGTATTTGGATCATTCTTAATCCCCTCCAGGACTAGACACAAAGCTTTCAACTACAAAGGAACCATGATATGACTGGTTGTTGTCTCTTTCAACAGTCAACAACTTCCTGTTTCCTGACTTTTTTATTTCAGTATTACCAACGCCATTATTTTTGACCCATTGCAGCACTCCCTTTTTTTTTTTCTCAACATCCTGATTCTGTTGTCCACTGAATCATGCAATCACAAGACATAACATACATAATAATCCATTATTAATCCGTAAGAGAGGTGGGTTGGTCTTTAATTAATGCTAGAAAGATCAACAGTACATGAAAGTTTTAATTAATGTTAACACAATGCTCTTATCCCTCCTGACTTTAGAAGTTTGTACTTCAAAAGCCAGCATGTTCACAACTTAAAAAGAAAATACATCTACTTGGAAAATGAAGGGAGGCAGGAAAAACATGGGTAAAATAATCCAATAATCAGCTGTTTAGCCACACAGCAGCGGTGCATTTTTACCCTTGAAAAATGCAAACACAAAAATAAACTTGTTGTAATTAACATTTCAGAAGAGGGAGAAGTCTTTGATATTCTTTAAATCTTTTTTTATCTTCCACACTTTCCGACAGAAGGTATAATAGTGTTTGATTTTCAAGATCACAGAATATTTACTGAATGATGTCTACATCATTATTACACCCAACACAAGCTACAACCCAAGTTTTGTAACATCTTATAATATTCCTAGAGGAACTTATAGTGGGTGTGTAATTGTTAAAAACAGTTTACAGTATAGCCTACAGAGACCAAATATTGGCTATAACAACGGCAGGACAGAGATATCTGAACAGCATAGCCTTTTTTTAGACTGTGGAGATTACAGGCACCAAGTTCAGGGAGGCAGACTCATCAGGGGTGAAAAGGTGAAAAGATGCAAATCCCCTAGAGGGGCAAGCCTCCCCAGGAAGAAATGTTTATTTATGAGCTTTAAAATGTGGATTTAGAGTTGACATGAGGATATATGGAAAAACTCACCCTTATGACTTGTGTGTGGAGGGGTGGTTAGCTAGTAAAACTGGATGTGGTTTTTGCTCTTTACAGCAATTGCAACGGCTGTTTGGTCAATTAAAATACAGGGCGTGGCTGTGACTTTCATAAATTGATTTCACAACAGTCACAAGGTCAATTCATCTCAGCTTCTGTTGTTTACAGCGAGCTCTACTTTGCCCACTTCTCAAGACACTTAATTAGGCTACTGTAACAAGCGTTCTGTTTAACTACATCATATTGTAGGTACATTTTAGCTAGGTTAAATGGCTACACCGTTAGCCATGAATTAGTCTTGTGTTCCAAAACAAATACAAAAGTATTAGCCTTGCTAATTTTATTTTAGCATAAAGAAAATAGGAACCATCAGGAGCTAACGTTAAGTTGGCACTTTGGCAGAGGAGAAACAGAATCAGAAGGAGCTTTATTGCCAAGTAGTGTTTTACACATACAAGGAATTTGCTGTGGTGTTAAGGTGCTACAGACAGACATACAGCTGACATAAATAGATGTAGAAATATACACTGCTCAAAAAAATAAAGACACAAAAAAACACTAAAATAACACCTCCTAGATCTAAATGAATGAAATAATCTCATTAAATACTCCTTTCTTTACATAGTTGAATGTGCTGACAACAAAATCACACAAAAGTTATCAATGGAAAACTAATTTATCAACCCATGGAGGTCTGGATTTGGAGTCACACTCAAAATCAAAAGTGGAAAACCACACTACAGGCCGATCCAACTTTGATGTAATGTCCTTAAAACAAGTCAAACTGAGGCTCAGTAGTGTGTGTGGCCTCCATGTGCCTGTATGACCTCCCTACAACGCCTGGGCATGCTCCTGATGAGGTGGCGGATGGTCTCCTGAGGGATCTCCTCCCAGACTTGGACTGAAGCATCCGCCAACTCCTGGACAGTCTGTGGTGCAACGTGGCGTTGGTGGATGGAGCGAGACATGATGTCCCAGATGTGCTCAATTGGATTCAGGTCTGGGGAACGGGCGGGTCAGTCCATAGCATCAATGCCTTCCTCTTGCAGGAACTGCTCACACACTCCAGCCACATGAGGTCTAGCATTGTCTTGCATTAGGAGGAACCCAGGGCCAACCGCACCAGCATATGGTCTCACAAGGGGTCTGAGGATCTCATCTCGGTACCTAATGGCAGTCAGGCTACCTCTTCAGGCACATGGAGGGCTGTGAGGCCCCCCAAAGAAATGCCACCCCACACAATTACTGACCCACCGCCAAACCGGTCATGCTGGAGGATGTTGCAGGCAGCAGAACGTTCTCCACGGCGTCTCCAGACTCTGTCAACCCCTCCCTGTGGACGTTGGGCCCTCATACCCCCCTCATGGAGTCTGTTTCTGACCGTTTGAGCAGACACATGCACATTTGTGGCCTGCTGGAGGTCATTTTGCAGGGCTCTAGCAGTGCACCTCCTGCTCCTCCTTGCACAAAGGCGGAGGTAGCGGTCCTGCTGCTGGGTTGTTGCCCTCCTACGGCCTCCTCCACGTCTCCTGATTTACTGGCCTGTCTCCTGGTAGCGCCTCCATGCTCTGGACACTACGCTGATGTGCCATCCTGGATGAGCTGCACTACCCGAGCCACTTGTGTGGTGAAAAGAGTGAAAGCACCGCCAGCAATCAAAAGTGACCAAAACATCAGCCAGGAAGCACAGGAACTGAGAAGTGGTCTGTGGTCACCACCTGCAGAACCACTCCTTTATTGGGGGTGTCTTGCTAAATGCCTATAATTTCCACCTGTTGTATATTCCTTTTGCACAACAGCTTCCTAAGTGGACAGTTTGATTTCACAGGAGTGTGATTGACTTGGAGTTACATTGTGTTGTTTAAGTGTTCCCTTTATTTTTTTGAGCAGTGTATTAATATATAATAAAGAAAAATAATAATAGTTTGTGGCCGGGATGGGAGGCATCAGCTGAAATCTTTCCTGCTCGCCTCAGAGTCCTCGAGGCGTACAGGTCCAGAAGAGAAGGAAGATTGCAGCCAATCACCTTCTGTGCAGAGCGAATGATACGCTGCAGCCTGCCCTTGTCCCTGGCAGTGGCAGCAGCGTACCAGATGGTGACGGAGGAGGTGAGGATGGACTCAATGATCAATGCTCAAGCGATGGGGGAGTCACTCAGGATGATGGGGGAGGGTGCAGCTCTTCCTGAAGTCCACGACCATCTCCACTGTCTTCACAGTGTTGAGCTCCAGACTGTTATGGCCGCACCAGGTCACCAGATGGCCAATCTCCCACCTGTAGGCGGACTCATCCCCACCAGAGATGAGCCCAATAAAGCGTGGTGTCATCCGCAAACTTCAGAAGCTTGACAGACTGGAGGAGCAGGTGTTGGTATACAGGGAGAAGAGCAGAGGGGAAAGAACGCAGCCTTGAGGGGAATCGGTGCTAATGATCCTGGAGTCAGAGACATGTTTTCCCATCTTCATGTGCTGTTTCCTGTCTGTCAGGAAGTCTGTTATCCACCTGCCGGTGGAGTCAGGCATGTTCAGCTGGGAGAGC